AATTGCAGGGCCACGCCTAAGTCAGCCAGCTGAGGAATCATGGTTACCACAAGAAGGTGGACTGCAGGTCAAAGTCTGGCCTGTGTGGAAGAATCCCATGATGGTCAACAAGGGAGTAATTCAAGGAGACTAGAAGAAATCGGAGATACAGCTTTCTGGGATAACTCTATACACTTGGAGAAGAGTCTTCGCTTTAGAATTCTTGTGCTATTTCTATAGTCTCAGCTTGCTACTTTTCCTTCTTTAATTGTTTCTGGTAGCAACCTGCCTTGTACTCTCACATGAACATACAAAGCTGAGTCCACCTCCTATGGAATGGAATCAATTTGGATCACAGAATTTGAAAAGAGGAAACAAAACCAGGTGTTGTTTAATTGACATGATCTGCTGTGCTCTTTAAATTTCAAGTATTTTTGTCTGCTGAACCTTCCCTTAATCTCATCATAAAGAATTAGCAGACATACAGCAATACTGAAATATTAATTACCTGTTCTACTAAGGATTCTCGTTCATCAAGGAGCTTTTTCAGTCTAACATCTGAAAGAGAAAAAAGGAGACTTCAATGCTGATTTAGCTGAGTTACACATTTCAGTGCATTTAATCAAAGAAAGAATTGTTAAGGTTAGTGAAGTAATGATGAAGGTAGTTATGCACGTACCACAGGAAATGAGGTCACAGACAGGACTGGGAGGGGGTTTCAGCCAAGGGAAGTTATGTCATTCTCACAGAGCATGCTTGTCACTTCAGTAGCAGCACCCAGCTGCATGCAAAGAGGCTAATCTTCTACTTTAGGTTAGCATGCAAGAACTCTAGGGTCAAACGTAACTGCAACACAAAAAATCTCACAAATCTTTACAGTTTAACAACATTAGGAAGAGAAATTATGAATAACTGCAATCATAATTAGGTCACATTCTTAACATTTTAAAATCTTAACTATTACTTTGCTAACTGAACAGCTTAGTTACATTTTTTCCATTATAGTTATTATACATTAAACAGGCAAATCTTTTGTTTCATTAAGAAGTGTCTGGTAAAGTGCTGTCTCCACATAGTCCCTCAGATGATCAGTACTCCACGATGCATGTCAATTGGGAGGCTATTGGGTCATGCAACTTCCTGGGCTTGATCTGACCTTAGAAGCAATATGAGTCATCACTCAAGCTCACACAAATAAAATAGCTCACAACAAATTTTAAAAAAATGTGGAGAAGAGGAAGTTGAAATATGAGTGAAGCAAAGAGAAATGCATACATTTTTAGCAGGTCCTGTAATGTTTTATGCACTTTATAAATGAAAAAGATACACTGAAGCACAGGAATCCAAACCATTCCCTTGAGAGGGTCAGATTTGACTAGATATTTTCCTTTCTAGTTGTTCAATGTGTGTGTTAGAGCAGAACACATATATTAACTTTGGCTTCCTTAACATGCAGCCATCTACGAAGAGCCAAATCTACTGATGCTGAGCACTCAACTAGTCACTTAACGAAACTCCAGTTTGTGGCCTATTGGAATTGCTTAACCACTAAAATGTGAAAGTCACCTAGGAAAAAAGGGTCCTTCAAAAATGTCACTTGCAAAAGCAAAACTGAAGTTGCATAAATCACTAATTACATCTTTAGAAATATATTCTGTTTTGAGACTAACACCATATTTTTTATCCCTTGAACTATGAAAACTGGTTAGTTTATTTTCTTTTAAATATTATACTTGCCATAGAACAATAAAGTACCTTTTCCATGTTAACATACTATTCTTATCACAAGAAATAACTTTATCTGATACCAATGTGTAGTATGTGGAGAAAACATCAACTTCAATGGAAGCCACAAATATGGCAGTCTAATACAAATTCATGATAAAGTGAGACCTCCTCACTCTGTACGCATATGATTTCTCTTACAGAAGTAATTCTAAAGTGTGAAACTACACCTTTACTTGTGGTGTCTGATGCAATGCAACAGCACACTTTTCAAGTGATTTGAATATTCAGCAGCATACTAAGTCACTTTATCAAAGCATTGATCATTTTGAATTTCCCCATGCCCTATCCAATTCTTGAGAATTTTCAGTATACCCATTGTTATAGTACCAAGGCATCAATATGAAAAGCTAATTTCATAAAATCTCAAGGGAAAAACACAACTTAGAAAACATTAAATTTAAAACAGTTGCAGAAATTCCTGCAAAACAAGAAAAAAAAAATCACGTGTAAATACTAAGATGATTTGAGAAAAGGAACATGGCTAACAAAAGGAAAAGAAACAAAACCAAGCTTAACAATAAGAAGTTGTTAAAGGAACATAAATGGTGAAAGGAGATACAAAGGTTCATAGCTTGAGCTGGGGCTAGGTGTCCAAGATCAGAAGATTACCAAGAAAACAAGCTGCTAAAGAGAGGAGAGAAGAATGAGGCCTACTGTAGGACAAAATTTGTAGTTAAATGGGAAGCTAGCACAAACTCATAGAAGAAACCTGAGCACCAAACAGTCCATTTATTTCTGGAAACTAAATTAACTATGTAAACAAAGATACACTAGCACACTGTCACAAAATATGTCCTTCATCTATAAATATATTCCAGTGTCCAGAATGGAAGTTCATTGTTAACTAAGAATGTTAACAGATGAAACTATAATAGTACTTTAAAAGGGTGGGGATGGGCAAGACTTACCATGGTCCACCTGAAGCCACTCTACCTATTTGTCTGTTGTATCCCATGATAAGAAGTTGAACTACAATAACTAAATTCCTGTTTAATTCAAAGGTAAATTATGGTGGTTTAACTTAACTTCCTACAGGATAGGAGTGGATAGATAAAACATACCAGATCAGCTGACAAGTGCTCAGTAAGCCTTCCCCCTGTGCTACAATTATTCATCTGCCCCCACTATTACAGATCAGTTAAAGCTGGTATTTGCATTCACAAAACAAAATTTTGGCCTCACCTCTTCTCCCTAGAACCCCAGCTTCCCCACAAAGAACATATTCCTTCCTATCCTAATCAACTATGGAAGTCCTGGTGTGAGAAGGGAGGAAGGGCAAGAGAAATGACTCACAGGTTCAACTAAGCCTTTTCTATGAGTGTAGCAGACAATCCTTAGAGTACAGTCTCTTCCCAAACTTGGTCACCCAAGGAAAGCAGAGCTCAGCTGGTGCTTCTGCCAGATCATTTTTATTATCTATTGCATTATGAAATTGGAAAAGATGATATTCCACCAAAAACCTGAGTCACAACTTGTACCAAATTCTACTGTATTTTTAGGCAAATAATCAGGCCCTCATTTTCAAGACTAGTGTTGGAAAGAAGAGTGATGAGAATCTGTTGCATAGAATTTGAAAATATCTTTCCTACTACTAGGTCCTGAACTATTTGGCCACTGTTTTTGGAGGTGTCCAAAGGCTAGCTCTGAACCCTTAAAAGCCTCATGAAAAAAATAAATATATGCTTGACATATGAGCTACATTGTTGTCATTGATTTTGTGCCATGAATTCTTGCAGTTACTGAAAGATGTCTCAGTCTTGCTTTTGCTGAATGAAAAATCTAGATCATCAGATTATTGTTGGTTACAGCTGACTATCAGGAATTAAACTCTCCAGAGCTAAAAGCATCTTCTTTGACCTAAAGAACACTACTCTGTGCTGCTCTGTCTTATTTTTTTAAAACAGTGTTCAAGGAGGACATAACACTAAGCAGTAGCGTTAAAATTGCACAAGCAGAGAATGGATAAAGGAAACAAAGGGCAGAGCCCTGGTTTTATCTCAGTTAATTTCAAGGTTCTAGTTTAGAATCCAATACTGATGAAAATGCCAAATAAACATTGGTTTGTCACTTTGCTCAAAATGAAGATGATTTAACCTAGATCTTTGTATTATATACTAGCTATGGACTTCAGAGGTATCATGCCAAAGAAACTTATATTCAGGTGCATACTTTCCAAACTGCATTATGTATTACAAACATTTGATGTTGATGCATTGTTTCTCTGTTTAAGTAGTAACCAGCAAAAGTTGTACTCTCTCTCTAAAAATCTGGAAGATAAGTAATTAACATTTTTTTCTGTTAACAACCTAGTTCTTTAATTTGATTTGCCTGCATGGAACCCCACTCTGAGCACATAACCCAAGATAGCATACAAAATGAGGGGAAATGCATTAATCAGGTGCCCAAAGGACTCAGCCATGGGTGTTTGATAGATGTATCAGCATAAACCAAGCTACACTGATGTCTGGATAATGACAGCTGAAGCTGCAACAAATCTCAAAAGTAGAGAAGACCTAAATTTGGAACAAAACAATATGACCAAGCTACTGAATGTTCCCTGGCCCTGCACTAAATGTTCTGAACAGTTCATTGAGTTCTACACACGTTCTAAGGAGAGAGCGAAGAAGTAGTGCTGGTATGTCTCAATTGTCCAAGTATAAACTCTACTTCCAACCATAACATCCTTCTTAAATTATGGACAAATATGGAAACCATATTTATTTGTGCAATATTACATTGGAGAGTCAGGCAAGGAACAATTTTTATCCTAGTTAAAGGGTATAATAATACAGTAAGGGGTATTTTTAAGATCTACAGCATGCCCAATTAATATTCTTATGGTTATATCCTACTACTGACATAATTTGTCCTAAGTTTTTATGATCGCATATTTTCACAGACATTGTGTGGAACCTGCTGTTAGTGTCAAGAAAGCAGCTCTGGAAAAAGGTTTAAAAATTAGATTCATGCAATATCATATTAGCATTCTTAAATATGAAGGCCCATATTTCTTAGCAGAATGAAATCATATCAATTCTAACACACATGAAGAGCATGGAGACAGGTCTATCAGTAATAAAAAAGGTACATTAATATTTCAAGGTATTCAGATGTATAAAAAGCAGATGAAGTTATTTTTGTGCAATGCCTGTAACAAAACAGACTTTTAGAACAGTATCAAATGAGATCCATATTTACACAAGTTTTATAAGTAGTGCTCTGGACAAGCATAATAAAGTATAAAATGTTTATTTCAATTATATACAGTTCAGTACATTTGTGATAGACATATGAAAAATTTCAACATATCTGTAAGTTATTAAGTTTGTAACAGCAATACAAGAAATATTTTATGACCAGCAAAAACTTTCGTTTGGATTCCCTTTTGATTTTCATTACTTAAAGCAAGTTTAAAATAATGTTCTATTATGCAAAAAACACATTTTCTTTCAGCTGGTTTAAAATATTCACATAAGAAATATATTGAAGAATTGATAATCTCTCAATTGTTTATATTTACAGTATCAAATCAAAAGCAACATTATTTTTCACAAGACTCAGTGCTTGGTATATAGGAGATAATACACAAGGAGCAACAGCAGTTATCTTTGGTGTGATGCTTTTCAATAAAAATTAAGACATTCAAGAGGATTAAGACATTCAAAATTCCTTCATTCTGGCAAGAAAGAAGGAAATAGTACTTCCAGAGACAAGAAAACATTCTTTCAGAATAGTATTTTGCAAAAATATGCAATAAGGAAATACAATTTAAACTTTCTTGTAGGAAAATAGTATCATAATATAACTAATTAACTAAATGTACTTGACAGAAAGTATGAACACACATCACAGTGTGTACTGAGAAAACTTCTCTAGAAAAAGATAAGAACGCCCCTGTTAAAACATGGGGTCAAAGGCTTATTCTGGTGCAAAGTGCCTAGACTAAGTAAGCATATACATACTTACTCCTTTCAGCAGACTAACAACTCTGGAGCCATTTATGCTTTAAATTCTTAAACTGTATATTGCTCTTTCAAAGTGTATAAACTAATACATTTTGGCAGTTCATCTTATAAACTATATGCCATACTTTGGAATGTGCCCATATTAAAATAATACACAGTGAAATTATACTTTTTGCATTAGCAATGATAGTTGGTTCCTGAACTGAAGCATTTACAAACAAATGTGGTAACTATATTTATGGTGCTGCATACCTTATATTGCTGTATGTTCAGCAAAGCAACTTTTAATTGTACTGTTGCCTTTGCATGCAAGACCTATAGCTTGTTTAAAAACTAGTCTAGAAAGTAAGAACAATTGTTATTTTTTGGAAGATACCAGCCTTACATTTATTTTAACAAGTTGGTCTGAAAAGTTTATTTATGATGCTTATTTGGTGATAAACATGAAACCTGAGAGAAATTAAAAATCAAAATCTGAGTATACAATATCTGGTGGTGATATACGACAGTAAATTGGATGGAATTCACATCTATGAACTGACATTATTATGATGAAACAACCACAAAACAAAAACATCATCATTCCTAAAGTCTGAATTACTGTGCACGGTGCATTATTTTGTACTGGAACTGATCCAAGAGCAGGTAATTTATTTGAGTTCCTAGATTATGAACTCATGATATTATACAATCTTCTTTAGATTTACCCTTACCCCTTTTAATACCTGTGATATCTTCTTTACTTTCAACACTGGTGGTGCTCAAGCTTTCCAACTCTTTTTCTAATAAAGGGTTATTGGTTGTTTTTTCTGAATCATCAGTTTCTAACACTTTAGTTTTGTCCTCCAACACCTCACATGTTTTCTCTGCAGTTTCAGATCTGGATGCATCTGATTCTTCAGATTCCTCTCCTTTTTCTTGGATACCTGCATTGTCTTCAGTCAACAAGACTTCATTCTCTGTTTTGTATATACTGCCTTGATGAGCTTCTTCCTTTCCACCTTCTCCTGTTTTGATAGCTTCTGTGACAATTTCCTTTGCTTTAACATCTTCCAGCTTCTGTGCAGCAACTTTCTCTGCATCCTTCCTTTCACTAGTTTCTAATTCCTGATTTGACTGAAAGATGAATGTTTCACCCTCATCTTCCACTCCTTCCTCTTGAACCTCTACCTCATTAACTTTAAGCTTCTTATGTAACTGACCTTCCTGTCTACTGAGGCAATTTGATTCCCCCTCAGCTTCTGGAATGACTTCCTGCATCTCATTTTGCTGTTCTGTTCTATTATTTTTGTCCTCCTCACTTCCCTGACCCTCCCAATTTTTATCCTTCTCTTCCCTAATAGATTCACACATCTCATCTGACCTTGTATTCTGCTCTTCCATTTCTTTTATGTTGCTTCCAGCTTCTTCAGTATGTTGCTGTGATTGTTTTGTGGCTTCCTGAAAAACATTATTTGTACTCGCAGAGGTAAATGTTTCAAGCTGCTGGTCTGCAGGCCCTGGCTTCTTGCTGTTTTCCTCCATTCCATCTTTTACCTCAATAATTACACTAATATTTTTAGGAGATTCCTGTGCAGCTGCTGCTTCTTGTTTAGCTACTCCCTGCATTTTACTTTCCAAAACATTATCTATTATTGTGCCATATATTATGTCTTCACTATATTGAAGTGTTTGGACTTCTACCTGTGTGTTCTTACCCTCCACCTGTTCAGTACCATTATCTTCAAATTCCTGAGATTCATACCATACTTCAGTATCTTCTGCCCCTTGAATTTTTTCATCACTGTGACTAGGGTCTATAATAGTTTCTTGGGGTTGTTCTTTGTTCATGGGACCTTGATCTTGCTCTGTTTTATGTGATTCAGATTCTTTTACCTCTGTAATACAGTCTATAAAATCCACAGATCTTTCAAGTTGTACCTCTTTGTTTTCAGAATCTGAATCCAATTTGCCCACTAACACTTCCTGTTGTCCTGGCCTCTGCTTCATATTCATTCCATTCTCTGCTGCACTTACCATACTTTGTTCTCCTCCTGCTAATAGCAGATCATTCTCTGAAAGAAGTGACGGAGTTGGTGTTTCATCTACTTTTTGTTCCTTTGCAGTATTATCTGGCACTATCTCAGTGTCACATGACACTTCTTCCTCCTCTTCTACAGCTTTTATTTCTTGGCTTTCCAGATTCTGGACTGTATCAGTTTCATTTTCTTCTTCCTCTCTACCACCCTCTACATTATCAATTGTTCTGTCAATGCACTCTTCACCTTCATCACTCATAACGTCATTTTTAGGGCTTCCTTCTGCTTGATACTGTCTTTCAACTTGAGCTTCCACACATGGCCCTTCAATAGCTGAACCTGTGATTACAATTTCAGGTGGTTCTGACTGATCAGAAACCAATGCATGACTGCTACCCACAAAATCAAGAACTTCCTGAGTTGCTTCACTACCTTCTTTTTGGCTAGTTATAAAATCCTCCTGTTTTTCTTTCTGCTGCTGTGCAATTTCTTCAAATTCCTGTCTCTCTAAGTTACGACACTCTGCCTGGGAAACCTTAATATCCTGACTCTGCAGTGTACCTGTTTCCAGATTCTGATTAGACCTCTCATTTAAGTCACTACCATGTTCACTTTCCTTGCTAATGGGCTGCTGGATTTCTACGCTACTACCTGCATCACTATTTTCAGAGGAAGATACATTTCCTAATACATGTTCTCTATAGCATTCAGTTTGTTCCTCCAGTCCACTATTCATTAATATTACTGTTGAGGTGACATCAGTATCTTCAATGGCTTTCTCTCTCTCTGTATTTTCATCAGTATGCAAGGTCTTTATCTCCGTATACTCCTTTACAATTTCCTGCTCCTCAGACTCCTCCTTGTGTTGCTCATGCTCAGTATTCTGCAAGATTTCCTTTTTCCCCACATTCTCCAAAATCTCATTTTTCATCTCCACTTCATTGGTTCTGCCTAAAAGACCATTGAGAAAGTTGAAGGGACTACACCAGGGGCGATTACGCAACTTTTTAAAACAAGGTAGCACTTACCTCCAGACTCAGAACCCAAAAGAAAGAATGAATCAGAGAATCGGTTAATAAAAGATCAGTTTTTGCCAATTGTGTGAGGCAAAGCGGCAATTGTATTAGTAAGTTTTCTGATCAGTGAAATCCACCACCCTCTCAAAAGCAAGATTTTTATCTGGTGTTGGCTTTGTGTTTTTGCAAGTTAAAGATTCTGCTATAGTTGAAGCTGTGAAGTACAACTTTCATAAATGAGAGGTACTTTGTTTCAAGCAGTGCAATTAACAGTAACACTTGCAGATTTAAGATTATGACACAAGGACAGAAATTTTTCTATTTGTTTTTGTTTTTTAAACCCTGACACTTCTCTATAATTGCAAAAGTGCATGGTTTGACAATATAGCCACCAAGTAATTTACCTAATACTCAACAATATTTTATACCTATTGCCCTCAAAGATATTATGTGTAACAAACATTATGAAAGGTATATTCTGATTGGCAGGCAAATTCTCCAACTATGTGGACATTTAACAACCAATAACAGTTAAAACTGTATTTGGTGCTCCTTATAGGCACTGCATCCATGCAAAGGGAAATGTCCCCCACCCCAACTTGTACATAGGAGCAAAAGGAGGAGATATTGTATAAAGCTCTTAATTACAGCTGTTAGCTTACGTTACATCAGTTTCCACAGAACCAGGATACTGGAGGGAGAGAGGACCAGTGCAGGCTGGCAAAGAAACAGGTGGTTTCCCAGACCTACTTTACAAAGTACTCTTACCTAGATTTTGGGGTGCAGCCAAAAGTGCAGCTCCCCGCTGTACCTGAGAATGCTTTGCAGGAAGTAGTAAGTTACAGCTCCCAGGAACAAACAGAAGTTCACTGCTGGTTCCAGGGCAGAGGAGAATCTAGCTGCTGGCTAGAAGGCTGCAGCCAGTTTCCCCTAGCAACTGGCCTCTCCTTTCTTCTAGCTTGTCCCTATTTTCAGAATGGGAGGGGAGGGATGGAGCAGAGGGAGCTCATTCTAGGGTTCCCCAGCCAGCACTGGAGGGTGGGTGTATTGGAGCACCCCCCCCATGGTGCGGGGGGCTCCACTCCCTTTCCCCCCCTCCCATTCTGAAAACAGTAACTTCTGTCTGCCAGCTAATTGCTGGCATGATGGGTCAGATGAAGACATTTCAAAAGACACTCTTTTGAAATGTCTTCATCTGACCCATCATGCAATGAGGGCTCAGATTTTCATCTAATCAGCCATTTTTGAAGCTGTCTGCAGTTGTGCACTTGTTTGGTCATGACTATAAACTGCTTTCTGTGGCCAGATGCAACAAAAATTGTCACTTCTTGTCTGTACCCTTTGTTGTTAAGAACCATTTTTATCAAATGGAGCAAGTAGGGGAAAAAACCAAACCCACTACCAAGAGTAAAACAATTCCCACTTCAAGAGTGGTTGACTTCCTGTTGCAATTTGCCAGTTCTTCAACTTAGAAATACAAAATTAAATATTTCCTCCTCTTTCCTGAGTGTAATAGAAAGGTAAACAGCTACTGTTCATATTAATGCAACTGTATTGTATAATCACAAAGTCAGAATCTGTGCCAATCAGATTCCTCCTTCCCTATGTATAGATAGAAATACATAATATATTTGCCCTGTACTCAACAATATGCAAGAATGTTAGTCTTTAACAATGTGAATTGCATCATTATGCTAACAATACAGTAATATTGGACATGTAGAATTTAGATATAGTGTATGAAAGTGGGTTTTGCAACAGTGTACTAGACCATTGCTCAACAGACACTTATGGTTCTCAAATGTTAGTTAGAAAATGTTTACATTCGATTTACAAATATGGAATTCAAATGCTCTTGTCCTGTTTCTCTGAGTTCCCGGTGTTTAAAACAAAACAAAAACAAAAGCAAAACTATAAGTATTAAAGTCTTTCTGGATTCAAGACTTGTATGTTCAAAAAATACTTCTACTCACTTTGTGAGTATTTGTTTCATTATCCTTTGTTACCCTGGGCTTGGGAATAAAGACATTTATATTAAAGTCTCTTTTTGTAAGTATAGAAGAAAATTGCATGATATGTTTCAAGTGATTATGATTCTTAAGCAGAAAAATGCATAGGGAGTGATTCAACAAGTAGCATGCTGCGTGATTGGTTAATTGTCTGAAAAATAAACACAATATCCAAGCAAAAAAGGTGAAGTTGATCAAATGGATGGAAAAGTTGAGCAGAATGTGAACACGTACCTAGGGTCCCATTCCCAGATGTGTTTAGCACCTGAGTTGTGCCTTGAGTAATCTTGGAAGAATCTGAGTGTCCTTCATTATCAAAAGCATCTGAAGTTTCTCCATTGGTAGCTACTTCTGAGTCTGGGATTATTCCATGTTTCTGTGGATAAGGGAAGGATATTTGAAAGTTTGGTGTACAGAAATACAATAAAAATAGTAGAACATTCTTGTACCTTAAAATTTTGAACAGAGACTGCATCAACAAAAGCTTCCCAAAACTGACTGGTTCAGTAAAAAAAATCGTGAAAACAGTTAGAACAGAGCAAGGTAGAATATATAAAATGCTTCCAAGATCAATATCTCTGGAATAATAAACTCCCAATTTTCTATTTTAGCACAAGAACAGAATTGATCAGCTTTTTTTGTTTGTTTTCTAGTGCATCTCTGTTGTCTAGCATCTGAAACATTCCTTAGACGACAGGTTTTAAACAGAAGTAACCTCTGAGCCCTTAAACTTACACGACAGCATACTGAAAACTCCTAGTTATGTCTTATGGGAGGGACAGCTGGTGAGCAAATATTTGAGACGAATAAGAGCAACATCAGTATACAGCTCTTGCTGGGATTACAGAGCTGGAACTAGCTTTTCTGCTACGGGCACCAGGAGACATTGATTACAAAATTTCTTTACAACAAGGTTCTTCTCTTCTTACTGCATACCTTCAATTGTTCCTTCAGCATAACCACTTCCATTCTAAGGCCATCTCGCTCACTCCTTATGGAATCAAAGAACTCTTTCTGCCTTTCTAACGCCTGAGTTTTTACAGCACAAACAGAGAAGGCAGGAAGACAA